TCTCATGCTGACTGGCCATTGCCCCACCCCCCCCGCCTGATGTTGTACATTTCCAGCTGGGGTGATTGTACATTTCCAGGGCCCCGAAATGTACAATGAGGGTAGGGCCTCCAAAACCTGTTTAGGCCACGGGCTGTTGCGACGATACAATTTACATGTCATTAGAAAGAGGGGTTCCAATTAATTCCTAGACACACTTGGGTCATACATTGTTTCAGAACTGATTTCTACTTGCAGGTTCCGAATACTTAATGACATCTTTTGCAGCAGGTGGCTGATCACTCAATCCTGAATTTCTTCAATGCAAGAGATGGTTATCTTTGCCGCAAAAACTCTTTGGGTCTTCACAGAAGTCTTCATTTCAAAGCCTCCTAATGAACAACAACACCTTTTTGGTGCACTGCTTTTTTTGCGGAATGGTTTTGAGGGTGAGGTGAGCGATCAATCTGAGGAAAACATACACACACACACACACACTTGTGCAATCCTCCCTCTGGACTGATTGAATTGTGTGTAGGATCAGCCATCTCAAAGACAGAGGAACAGGATGTGTAGAGGATTCTGGCTTTGCCTCTTGCCATTTCTCAATCTCTTGTTGAGGTGTGTTTGTTTGAGCCTATTCCTGTTTGGAGGGACCTCAACTTGCGCCCAAAAATCCTTATTGCTGAATCATCACTGACATGTCTGGGAAAGCACAGGTGCACTGGCATGTTTTACATGCAGCTGGCACAAACTTGCAAACTGAAACTGCAACTGAGCATGTCTGTACATGACCTGTAGGCCTACGGCAAACGCTAATCTGGACACAGCAGAGGGCTGTCCTTCTTCTAATCTTGGCACCGCAGGGGGCTGCCGTGCAGGTACGTCCAGCTGATCAGAATGGATATCCTGAGAACTTGCAAAGATCTTCGTTGGACAGAGCTTTGCAAGTCCCCTCTGTCCCCCTGCAAATAATGGACAAGTGACTGGATTAAACAGCAGCATGAACCTTGGCAAACAGGTGTTTCATACACTTGCCAATGCAAGATAATTTTGTTCAGTCCGCAACAAGATGATGGAAACGATGATGCTGATGATGAGTGACGTAAACAGATGATGGTGAATTATATTTTTGATTCTAAAGGTATGCCAGACATTAAGAATGGCATACTTGCAAAACTCGATGAGCATGAGGTTCCAAAATGAGTTGGGGTAAGGGTCCTGCCCCGCTGCACCAGACCAGAGGAATGATGTAACACGATATGAGATGAAGATGAACAAAATGAAGGTCCCACCAGCTACCCCATAAGGTCCAGGTGCAGAGCGGTGGATTTGCACCCTGATGCAGGTACGTTTTCACGGGGTTGGGGAAGGGGGTCTTCGTTATCCAGGACCCTTCCCCACCCCTATGGGCCCCCTGCAACATGACATGTAAAAACAGGAAAATGAGGAGTGACCCCTTGCCTCCATGTCCTAGGAAGGGCTCACACACGCATACACACTTAAGCACATCTCATGGGCGTGGCGCCGTAGTCAGCTGGTTCATACTGTTGAGACTACGAGTACCATCAGCGATAAAGCTGCTATGTTGGCCGTGGTGCACCTTGACAGCCTTCAGAGTTGGTTCTTGGGAGGGGTGGTGAGCAGATATGTGTGTGTGTGTGTGTTTTGCCCATAGAGACACTCAGGGTACACCGCCACTATGGGAATGTCATTAAAGACTATGACGCCGATCAAACCTGTCAAGCCCATGGTTTCCAAGACGGACGTCACGGCCTAAACCGTATGCTGGTGTTTGACAGGGGTTGCCCTGAGTCCCTACCTATTGTCACGGTTGTGACCGTTCTTTTGTATTGATGTGAACACGTGCTTCCTATTTCGGCCGTCGGCGGGGTTCAGGGTTCAGCCGGTAGACAGACTTCGATGCAACTGAAAACGATGTTGCTAGAGTGCTTAGTAGGCTTGGCGCTGAATATCTCAGTCTCCGGGTTGGCGTTGGGGCCATTGAATTCTTTCTGTGATGCTACGGTCTGGCTTGCGATGTGTGTGTGTGTGTGTGTTTGTTGCTTTGTAGTATTTCCTCGCTTTCCTCGCTGAAGGCACGACTTTGGCACTACAGTACTCGCAGCAAGGAAAAGGAGATCAAGGTGAAATACCCATGAGCATGTTAACTGTTAACTGTTTGGTGTTTTGTACAGCCATTCGGCAGGTCACCAAGTCCAAACCCCCTCCAGAGCCTTGATTTGCAGCTTTGAGAAACCGGCCTTGATATGCTTTTGATGAAGGGTCCGTGGATATGCTTCAATCGCAGTCTTGCCTAAGGATGGTCTGGACAAGAAAAGCCTCGTGTGAGTCTAAGAGGGTATTTCGTTTGAGGGTCTTCTTGTTTTTTCGCTCTGAAGGCTGCCCTTCAGAGCGAGTTCTTGTCCCAGCAGACCGAGGGGAAAGTCCACGCCGGGCTCTAAGCAACGGCTCAGCTGTAACTACCTACTGCGATGCGGGGATTCAACCTCCCATTTACCAAAGCCATACGACTCCCAATCCGGGGGGCTGTCTGTGTTTCCAATGCTTCCGTGCAGCCACCAATCATAGGTTTTCTGTGGCTTGCGTGGTTTGTGGTGGGTTCTAGGTGGGCTCCCCCTATGAACACCACGAAGGCACATTCTTGCTGTCATGTTGTCGCAGCCAATCTTGTCTCAGCCCAATGCGCCCCTCTACATCTCCGAGCTTCGATGGCAGCGAAAGGCCGAGCCATGGCTGTAGTCAAATGTCTTGTGATTTTTAGATGTCCTTTTCATCATTTGTGGGTTGTGTGCGTGATGAGCCGTGAGGCGTAAGGACCAGGTATTTAATTGCACAAGGCTGTTTCTTTGTTCCCTTCTCCAACTGTGCTCCCGTGCTTACGCCTGGCCAGCTTTCATTGGCCGGCACGCCCCTCAAGTTCTGACAACCCCCCAACGTTCCAAGATGCATTTTAAGGATGAAGACATGCGGGAGGCAAGCACCGAAGCTGGAACCTCTTGTGCGAACCTAACACGCGAATGGGTTGACATACCACGTGAAAAGATGTGAGACCTTGCCAGACAAGTCGTATCCAAGCGAAGCACAGTGTGGAGTTTCGGCAGTCCGCTGTGGTAGTAGGATTGGCGCCAGTGACTGCTCGAATGCAACATCATGGTTGACTGCACTGGTTCTCGGTGAGTGTTGCAGGTCCCACATCCACTCAATCCTGATGAGTGGGTCAAGACCGTGTGTGTCTTGTTAATGTGAGCTTTTGCTGACACACTGAAGGATGTAGAGTATTGTACAACCTCAGGCAACTGGTTGCGACATTTTTGATGTTACGCCATTTGCCAAGTCAACGCCTTAGTCTTTTTTGGTCCGGGGAGACTTGCAGCTTCCGCCAAACTCAGGCATATGCCTTTGTGGGAGAGGTCCGAGGGGGGCATCTTCGTGGGTGAACGCGGAGCTGGGTCAGGGTGCGCTGGATTCGAGCTCAACACACAGCCACGTTCTGCATCGCATAGCTGCCTGCAGGTTGCATGTGGATCAGTGTTTGTGGTCCAACGTTGGCACCCGCCTTACACATACCTTGTGATTCTTTGGCTCCCTCGTCTCAGCATCTGCCTAAGTCCCGTGATTGTGTGACCGAAGTTGTGTTGGAGACAGGACTCAGATTGTGCATTTGAGGCCGCAACTGGTCTGGATTCAAGCTTTTTGCACTGTGGCCTTGGCGGGGGCCTTGCAAGCCCTGCTAGCCAAGCTGTTGAGTTGCGTGTGCTGCAGCGCTGGCAAACTCAAGGTGCGAGCGACATCGCATACTTGATGAAGCTGGCAAAGGCTCTCCCCACTTTGATGCTGAAGTGATCATCCTGCTACATGCTCATGAATTCATCTTGAATTGAGGTGCTATTTTCCGTCCTCCATTGACTAAAACGGAGGACGGCGGTGTCTGCTGGGTGGGTCGGGAAAATTGTCTTGCAATGCTGCACCTTCAGACTGAAGGTGGGGCCTTTAAAGGAGTGAACTCTGCATGCTGCTTTGTACTGCTATAAAGAGTATGTTTTTGCTAGAACACTTCGTCTTTTTATGAATGAGCGTTGCGAAGGAGGGGTTTCTCAGCCGTGCCAAGACGGCGTGGGCCTGAGGAAGCCTGGAGCTGGCTGCAGCGTTTAACTTGTCATCAGCTTTCCATCCCCTGAAAACAGTCCCCAGTCACTACAGTTTATTTGCATTTCTGCAAGATCTGGAAGTCTTCAGGTAACATGACAAATTCCAGAATGTTGTCACGATGTTAACGTTGTCTAAGACATCCGTACTCTCGAGTAATTGCAAGCATGTTATGTCCTTGACCTCCATACTTCCAGCCTCACGTGTCACTGGGTATGCAAACGGGGGCTTGCGATGTCAGGCACAGGTCCCGTCTTTCTTCCCTTTTTGACTGTGGGCTTGCGCGAGATTTAAAGAAGACATGTTCTCCGGGCTGGTCACCAGCCTTCCTACTGTGGAACGAAAGTTGGGGATGCTCGAAGTGAAGCACTTTGTTTGCCAGGTCGCACTGGTTGGACCTGGAGACGTTTGGGCTGCCGCTTCAGTGCGTGCTTGCCGGGAACATCTTTTGGCACCTTTTTGGAAGCCCTTGCAGAGCTGTTCAATGATAGAAGCTGTGGTCAATGGAAGGCCGCCTTTGTCGTGCAGAGGTCTTTAGCGGTGGACAGCCGCATACTGCAATGTGCGTTGGCGATGGCGTGAATGTTTGTGCCTATGAGCCTGGCGCCTGCTGCAAAGTCGCTAGACGTGATTTGCATGTTATGCTGATTGGTAGCATGAAGCTGATGCTGCGCTGAAAGTTGCATTTCGGCTCCGAGACGCCATCACAGCTGTATCCAACACCTGCTTGAGCCTCTTGCCGCGAAATGTGCCCAGTATGGGCTGCTGAATCGCTGTGTCATCCTCTTGCTCGCAGAATTTGCTGCCGAGGTACAGATGAGTCAGCCCATTCCGATTGCTGCGCAGGATAGGGCGGATGTGGATGATGCGGACGCTGCAACAAGGGGATAGGTTGCTTCTCGCACAAATGCAAGGAAGGCACGATGATGCTGCGTGCTACTGCTGCCACAAAGACTGGCGTGCCAATTTCAGCATCTCATCCGCAGAATGATTCTCTCCGATTGGCGCGTTGAATGTTAGTTGCTTCTCAGCAACATGGCCCAACTATTCTGGAAGGATTGTGCATATTTGAGTATGAAAGGGCTTCAAACGTGTTTCCCACTTGATATGTGTGTAACTACATACATCAGCTTGGCTACTGCAGCTACTGCGGCTATTGAGCGGCTGCTTTGGCCATGCTTGTGGCCTTTCTGATGGCCAATTATGCCAACTGAAGCCATCCACTCAGGTTTGTGGTCGAGTTTGCCACGTTATGCAAGTGGATTCCATTGTCAGCCTGCAGAAGGAGTTGCAGATTTGTCTTGGAATGCATGAGCAGGACTGGCAGAGCCTTTGTGGACATGCCTTTGCCAGCTTCCGGTCGCTGTCAACTTGCTGTCAGGAGTTTGATTTATCTGACAGTGCTGGCAAAAGGATCCTTGTTTTCAAGGGCTCTTGAGAAAGACCCCTAGTCCTCCATTACCTTCTGTAATCCTTATATTGTGCTTACATACCCCCCAGGGTCCGTCCTGAAGCCCCCAAGTGCTTGCTTAATGAAAGCCTCGCAACTGCCATTTTCTTGATTCATTGTTCTGGGCCACTGAGGCTCCTGACAGATCAGCAGCTGCAAGAGTCCATTCAGGGCTGCTATGCTGCAGTTGTCTTGAGGTTTTTGAGAACGCCTGTGCATGCATGGGCCGGAACGCTCTGCTCATCGGCGACATGCTTGTGACAAGAAGCCGTGCGGACCTGTGGTGCATGGAACGTTGCCCCAGGTAGCCTCGTTCCACTGCAAGCCAGCCTGTCTGATGCATCCGTTCACTTCATCGAGAACCGCCGGGAAGAGTTGGCACAGATGCAGTGGAAGGTGCGAAGTGTATCACATTGTAAGAAGTAGTTTCTCGTGCGACGAGCATGGCTGCAGGTGCTGCGGGACAAGATCCAAGGTTGTAACACAGATGTGCTCGCTCTCTCCAGACAAGTCTTGGAGATGCAGCAGCAGACTCTCAGCGGCGCAGACTTTCACACGTGTGAAGAGATGATGTCCAGTTGCCAAACCCCGTATCGGTGGTACAGGGTAGAGTCCAGACTGGCCGCATGCTGTCTTTGCGAGCGGAATTTGGTACAAGGGACAAGCTACACACAAGAAAACAGGTCATGCAAGGAGTTTGCACACCCTCAGGATGCAAGTGGCGGCAAAAGATCGAGAAAAGGCAATGGAGGCTCCGTCAACTGGGCAGGTAGAGTAGAGCCGAGCTGATGACCTGGATATGGCTCAACATGAGTTGTCTGATGTCTTCTGCATGTCTTAATTTCTGCTGCTGCAGGCATTGCGAGCAGAACTTGGCAACCAGCTCAACCAAGATCGGGCTGCTGCGGAGGTAGGGACCCACTGATACTGGCTGGTGTAATCTGATGTCCTCATGTACCAAGGCCGGCTTGCAGCAGCTTTCTGAGCAGCTGCACTCGTTCACAAGTCTGGTGAATGCTGTTCCTTGCTTGAACCAATGCGCATGTGGCTCACGACACGTAAAGTTAAGCAGGGAAAAGCAGCGGATCAGGTTGCGTCGAACAAGAGCAACTCGAATTGTCCTTGTGAGCTTTGCTGACAAGTCTCTGATTCAGGGTGGCGCTACTTGCTATATAAGGAGCAGAACAAGAGAGAGTACTCACAGCAAGTGGTCGAGAACCACATCCAGGACTGCGGGCGACTGTCAATAGCAGCAACAGCACTCGCACCATCTTGACAAAGCATGGTCCTGTCTAGGATTCGTCCTTGTGCCAAAGCTGCTAGTCTTTTTGGTCGTGTGAGACGATGCCCCAACCAAGTCGAGAACGCTTCATGTTCACAAAAACCTTGCAAAAGCGTTTGCCAGTGGAGGTTGTCATCTGGAATGGTTTCCAGACAAGACATCTGAGCCGAGCCAAGCTAACGAAAGCACCCGACACAGAAACGAACAACGCATGAACCATAAGATAATGCAAGTAATGCAACAAACGGAAACTGGACCTTGCTGCATGCAGCTCAGGAACTGAGTCCTTTTTCTTGTCGTTGCTCGGATAACATTCCATGCCTGTTCAGATGCACACGGGCGAAGGCGAGAAAAGACTGTGCTTGGTTTCGGCTATGTCTGGAGTTGACATACATGGAAAATGCAAATCCATAGAACCATATTTAATTTTCTACAGTAGAGATGCAGCGGTTCCAACAGTAGAGATGCAGCGGTTCCAACAGTAGAGATGCAGCGGTTCCAACAAAATTTGTGGAATTGAAAGCTTTCAGCCCGCCCCACGCCCAAGATCAGTATCAACTGAGCACTGGGAGGGTTTATGCACCTCTTAGATTATGCTTCCTGCCCGCCCTACACACACTCTCTCTCTCTCTCTCTTTTTGCTGGCCCAGTCTTTGGGCAGTATGGCTATTTCAATGGTCAAAGACTCCTGCCAGTCGCCTTGGCGAAAGGGGGTTGGGGCAGCTGCAGGACAATGTAAGCGAAGGGAAAGGAAGTGGCAGCCCTTGAGAGGCTACAGGTTAGGCCGCAGGACAAGGCATGCACTGGGCCAAGCAGCATAGCCACAAGACAACACACAAGCGGCTTGTGGTAGCGTGAAGCGCTTGCAGAGCAGCCGATAGCAGTTCTGTAGGCCTAGCAGTGCATTGAGAGCCCTGCCAAACAGGAGCTTGGCAAGAACGGGAAGAAGGTAAGTGAACACATGCGGGCATTGTGAGCGCCCTGAACAACCCCGACACCGCGACAAGCAAAAAACATACACTTGGGAAAAGCCATTGTCCAAGTTCATACATGCAGTATACGGACGTGTCTGAAAAGGGCTCAAGAACAGCTTCTCCCACAAGGCAAGAAACCAGCTCCGTTTGTTTCAAACCAGAGTCATTAGAGTGCCAAGTACAGTCTGCGGAAAAGAAGCGGCCGAGAAAAACTGCCGATGGCGTCTTGAAAAGGTAAATCAAGGCCCCTATGGATTGAACATACCTTCACTTTCAGCAGCAGTGATAACCATGGCTGTTGCAGAATCAAGATGTTTTTCAGAATCTTCATGTGGAGGACCTGCGCAACGCCATTGATGCAGAGCGAGCAGAGCGATACCAGGCGTGTTCTTGATCGCAGTAGCAGCCTGCAGTCCGTAAATTTGAAAGCTGCCAACGTACAAGCAGCAGCCTTTGTGAGCTGTCTGGCAGGACTCCGACAAGCATCTCAACATGTTGCGTGAGGGCACCGTCGGCCTGGATGCGCAGCGACATGCTTTGGAGCCATTTGGATCTGAATAGTCGTTGTAATTTGGGCAACCGCTGCTGCGCTGCCAGACCATGCCCGCACAGCGTAAAGCAAGCAAACAAGTCAGGATCCATGGGTGAGGCAGGTTGCCGAAAGCTGAACAAGGGCCTCAAGGGAAATACTGCTTGTCATCGTCTTCGTTACGGGGATAGATCGGATAGAGTCTTTTCCTCTGTCGTCTTCTGACATGAAGGCTGAAAGATGTCGAACTACATGCGCTGGCGAAGTGCGTCGATGCGAAGCGCGCATAAACGGTCTAGAGGATAGGGTCCCATCCTCTCCGAAGTTCAAGCCTGCAAGTGCGCTCGGGTGTCCCTAAGTCCTCAGTGCCACTGTTAGACAGAGCCCATACATCCGCAGTGCCTCCTGCATGATTCTGGATGTGACTGTGTATCCCTTTGGTCTAAGTGTGAGGGTGTAAGTGTAAGGGCTGTCCGAAAGAGTTCTTTTCCCCTAGGCAGGAACACCATGGTTTCCTCCAAAGAACAGTTATATCCTGGAGAAAGATGTTTGTTCTATGAAAGGCCAGGGTGCACCTATTGAAAAGATGTTGTTTCTCTCAAAACCACTTGCTTGCAGGGAAGAATACTTTCTCTTATATGAGCCGGGGTCAAAATTA